TATGCCTGTGGCCCTGACACAAGTCAAAATTTGGAACTTCGTCTTCAAAATACATTTTTGGGGGCTTTTTTTCCTCGAAACAAACTGTAAATTTTTGAACTTGTACCGGGAAAACACGAAAGTCGTGACGTCACAATTGTGTTTACATACCCTCATGCAAACATGGCTATCAACCAATCACAGCGTGCGTACTATTTAATTTATTTTATAATGTATTATACTCACCGTGTATAGATAGTGATGGGTAACGCCACCTATGCATCAATAGATCAGGCTTGTTCTCATGTAAAAGTCTGTTGTGGCCAATATCTTTACGATATTCTTCCTAACACGGAAAAGAATTGACAAACATTTATGCATTCTTCTCATACTCATTAATAATTTATGAGGAAACCAGCCAATAAATGGGCTATTTTTGGGTCACATGATTTTACTTGAGACCTGGTAAAGTCATGTGAAAGGACTGAATTCAGTCTGTAGTAACTGGAACAAAATTAATTCAGTCCTAGGACTGAATTAATTTTGTTCCAGTTACTATACAGACTGAATTAATTTTGTTCCAGTTACTACAGACTGAATTCAGTCCTTTCACATGACTTTACCAGGTCTCAAGTAACATCATGTGACCCAAAAATAGCCCATTGATTGGCTGGTTTCCTCATGAATTATTAATGAGTATGAGAAATAAAGTGAAAACCTTAATCAGAAATTATGGCTCAATCAGTGGTTTTCACGTCTTACCAGATCAAAGTCTATAGGATCATAGGACTTTTTCTCCTCCTCCGTCACAGGTGCTACGCTGTCGTTCACGCCTGGTACTAGGATGTTCCCCTTGACGTCCACTAGAGTATCGAGAAGACTAACGAGGTCTGTCATTGCTTCGTGTCTGTAAGCAAAGTATTCAACAAAATTCAGCAATAACCATGAAAATATATGTTAATGATGATGATGATGATACATGATGATGGTCATGATAGTGATAATAATGATGATTGTGATTATATTAATGCTGATAATGATGATGATAATTGATGATGATGATACATAACGATGATGATGATAATGATTTATATTGCGCCCTTTCTACATGGATAAAATCGAAGGCGTTTTAAATTTAGTTGTGAATTTCAGATAGCTTTTTATGCAATTTACAAATATGAGAGAGGGTTAGTGTGAGGTGTAGGCACTGCCAATCTACCTATGTAGATCTTTCTGCTGTTTTTTAGCCGTTTTAAGCCTTTTTCTTCTCACCAGCACTAAAGAAAGGTGGGAGAAAAGGGCTAGGGCTATTTACTCATTTTATTACAAATGTATTTTACTATATTTTTGACCCTACTATATGCAAGACAATATTGCTTGGGCTGCCTGTAGCTCAACCAACTAAGCCAATCGGCTGGCGGCTAATGAATTATTTATTTATACACTCGATTGCAGAAATGTTGCAGTGTAACATTCATACAAATATAAATACCTAATGAGATGTAGTCCTGAATGCTGCCTTTGTGGAAGGCTATTTTGTTCAAAGCCCCAAGATAAATCTACGTTATCACTGATCAATACTTACACAGAACCTCCAAAGACTCCCGAGTGCAGATCCTTAGTAGCACAAGCCACTTCCACAAAGAAGTAACAGATACCCCTGGAAAGCGAAAGAATTTAGTCATTTGTTTGTCATATTTGTTTGACTTACGAGAAAAAGACTAAAAACTTAGGTAAAGACCTTGAAATTGTTTCTTTATTTGCCTGAAACTCCTTCCACCTTTCTTTCTCCCTTCTTTTCCTTTTCTTCTTTTTTGCTTTCTCTTTTTCTTCCTTTCTTCCTTCCTTCCTTTCTTTCTTCCTTT